CAGAACTTTATTGACCAAAACAAAAAAGCAAATATAAAACTAAATTAAGGTTAGGGTTTAATGTCTAATAAATATCTTCATAATTTGGCCACAGTAACGTTTTTATTTTAAACTGTGATTTCCCAATCAAAAATATGTCCTATTTTCAAAAAAGGTGATAAAAGTGCTATTGAAAACCCAGAGTTATTCTGTGCAATTCTGTCAAATTATTTGAAATTGTTTTATATGATATAATCCCCTTTCATGTTAAATTTCAAATCTTACATTGTCAGTATGAGTTTACAGCAGGTAGATCTACAACTACTAACTTGGTATGTGCTATCCATTTTATTGCGAATATATTGGATCATGGTGGTCAAGTAGATGTAATTTATACAGACCTGTTTAAAGCATTTGACAGGCTCCGTCATGGGCTCCTGTTACAAAGTGTCCGAATTTAGATTAACTTTACTAACTTGTTTGAGTTGTACCTTGGTAAAAGAATATTAAATGTTAAATATCGTGGGTTGTCATCTATATTAGCAACTTCAGGAGTTCCACAGGGTTCGGTTCTGCGGTCACTGTTATTTATATTAATTATGTGACATATGCCAAGGCCTTCAAACTAATGTTCTTTTGTATGTTGACGATTTTAAATTATTTCCAACTATTAATTCTGATGAAGATTGTGATCGTTACAGCATCACCTCTTTTAATAAAATTAACTTTAGTCAATTAAAGAAAATTGTTTTTAATATGAAAAATAAAAGTACCGGTGATGAAGGATTTAATATTAAATTACTTAAAGACTTGTTTTGTGTTATCGGTTATCCGCTCTTAAATATTATTAATAAGTCGTTAGAAATAGGGTGTGTGCCATCAATGTTAAAAATTAGTACGATAATACCGATTCCAAAGGTACCATCTCCAATAAAACCTGAACAGTGTCGACCAATAAATTTATTGCCAGTTGTGGATAAAATTTTAGAAATAATAGTTAGTGATCAGTTACGAGAACATTTGAATAGAAATGACATATTAAGTACCAATCAATCAGGTTTTCGAGAAAATCATTCATGTGAAACTGCTCTATAATATATTTGCGCGAAATGGAGGAAGGACATAAATGAGGAAAAAGTAGTGCTTAGTGTGTTTGTGGACTTAAAGCGGGCCTTTGAAACAATTGAGGTTTACTAGTAAAAAAAGTTGGATAGATATGGCGTAAAAGGTACAGTGCGCAAATGGTTGGAGGATTATTTAAAGAATAGGTACCACAGAACTAAAATTGGTAATAAAATTTCAAGTAACATAAATAGTCCGTATGGGGTTCCACAAGGTAGTGTATTAGGACCACTTCTCTTTATTACATATGTAAATGATATTCAGTACGTATTAAAAAATTCATTTGTAAATTTGTTTGCTGATGACACTGTAATTACTGTATCTGGTAAAGATTTTAATGATATTACTAACATTCTTAATAGCGAGCTTGATATATTGTATAACTGGCTATGCAGTAATAAGTTGAAATTGAATTCAGATAAAACTAAACTTATGGTCCTAGGGTCTAAATCTATAAGTAATAAATACTTAGCTAATAGTTATGTCATTAAAATTAATGAGTGTCCGATTGAAATCGTGAAGCAAATTAAATATTTAGGAGTTATGTTAGATCCACAACTTACACTTTGTCATCAAATGAATTACATATGTAAAAAAATTGGAAAGAAGATTGGATTTTTTTCATAGGATATCACATAATTTATCACAGTGGAGTAAATTACTGATTTATAACACCATAGTCTATCCACATTTTACATATTGCGCATCGTTTTTGATAGCATGTAATACTCATGAAATAAATAGATTGCAAATACTGCAGAATAAAGCAATGCGAATTATATTAAAATGTAACATCTACACTCCTGTGAAATCTATGTTGAACGGGTTAAACTGGTTATCAGTTGAGCAGTGCATTAACAGAGTTAATTTAATTTTAATATATAAAATAAGTAGAGAAGAAGTACCGATCTATCTACAAAATCTAAAGAAACGTACAGATATACATAGTTACAATACCAGACGGAAAAATCACTATGACGTTGAGTGTGTCAAAAAATCCTTTTTACAAGGTTCATTATTTAATGAAGGACTTCGTCTTTTTAATGCTCTGCCAACTGATATAAAGGATGCACCAAGTGTAAAAACATTTAATAAATATGTATGTAAATATCTCACAAGTAATTAAGTAAAATATTCTGAAGTCTGAATATATTTCGAATACCTTACAATTTTATATACTCATTCTAGTAGTTTCGGATACAATTACTTTTTATTTGTTTGTTTTTTGTGTTAGAAATAGTAATATTACTTAGGTTAGATTATTTAGGTTTAATTAAATATCTATGTATCTATGTAGCAGACAGTGCTAAATAAAGATCTATCTATCTATCTATCTATCATCACTCAAAAATTAATCTATGGTGTCATATTAATAACCCCATATATCAAAATGTAATGTTTATGACTTTTACGAAGAATATTAATCTAACATATTTTTCAAACAAATTTGGCAATGAAACAGTTATTAGATGTAAACAATTTAATGATCTTGGAGTCATTTTTGATATAAAATTAACTCTTGTTCCTCATATTAATAATTATATTATTGCCAGAGCTGTCAGTATTTGAAATAAAAGTGCTTTAGAAGGTATTTCAATTACTTTTAAGTATTTCAAATACTTTATTTCAATTACATTTTGGGATGGTCTCAAAGTATTTGGTACTTCAAATACTTTTTCATAATATTTGGATTTGATATTTGATTTTAACTTTTTTCAGTATTTGAAATACTTTGGACATATTTCAATTACTGGAATGTATTTAAAATACTGCAGAAGTATTTCAAATACTCACAAGTATTTGAAGCGCTTTTACGAATACTTCAATTTCTGAAAATCGATTATTTGAAATACCTACATAATTTATTTCGTTCAAATACATATTTGTTTTCTAAGTGATTTTAAATTTTGTTATTTTATTTAGACAAGAACCAACTTGCATGAAGTCTAGAGGGTGGGGATACGAGGTAATTCCAATAGCAGCTTAAAGCTTAAACTAAAACATTAGAGTATTTATGTATGATATATCATAGTTAAGTGCCTAGTGCCATTGTGTAGTGTTATTAAATTAAACAAAAACAACAGGTAAGTTGTTAATCTTAAATAAATTTAAGCTGTTATTATTATGATAAAGAAACTTTATACTACTGTTTTAAGATGCCACTCTTCTAATAACACTAGTTTACTTAATACAATTTTTTGCTTACATTGGGATAGGATAATATTTAATAAAATTTAAAAATTATTTCCTAAATAAAATTAAGTTATTTTTCATCAGAGTTATTAGCTTGAAGAATTTCCTAAGGTAACACAAATCTCGTAAAGTCCCCTTTTGCTCAAATGAGGGAAAAGAATAAATAATGGTAATAAACACCAGTATACAAAAACAATTCGGTATATTCAGTTTAAGTACATTTCACTGGGTAGGTTAAAATTGGAATCCCTTCTTAATCAATAATAAGTAATATCATTGTCTATATAACATAGACAATGGTAATATATAATATAAGCAGACATATATAATACTATTTTTCTACAGTTACCAATTAAGATTTAGTTTATCGCTACTCTGTGTTGCTCCTATTTTTTTGTGCTTGTTAATTTATTTAGTTACATATTTAAATATACTTGTAGCGATTTCGTTATTTATTTCTTCATCTCAAGTCCCAACACACCCTTTATATACAATGTATGGAAAAAGAAAACCAACAAATTGGATGAACTGCTACTATTTATTGATAGAGGGGCCCTAAATGTACTTATAGTTATAGGGCATATTTTAACTGCATGTAAAAAATTATTTAAGCTATTTTTTTTATAAACGTTTCAATAATTAGATTTAGCTGTCAGTTTTTTTAATAAAAAAAAACTGCTAATGCATTCTGTGAAAAAATCGTATAAGTACACTTCTAACAAAAGTGGCGGTTGGTTAATCTGGTTGATCCAATTTGTCATTGTCCTGCTTCCAGGTTGTCCACAATTACTCGTAAATGTGATACATAATAATAATAATAATTACTATTAATAATAATAATGTCTTGAATAAGTATTTGAAATACTTGTAGAAGGTATTTCAAATACTTTAAGTATTTCAATTACTTCCAGCAGGTGGTATTTCAAATATTTCTAGAAGGGGCTTCAAATACTTCAATTACTTTACAGTATTTGAAATATTTTGGATGGTATTTGAAGTACTTTATTTGCATTTTCAATTACTTTCAAAAAGTATTTGTTATTTGAAATACATTTGTGGGCACGATTACTCGGTACTTGAAATTGCAAATACTGTTATGCAGTATTTGGTATTTGGTATTTCAAATACTTTCACTTAGTGCTTTTGACAGCTCTGATTATTGCTAATGCCTACAAAAATCGACGCTTTAAGATGTGAAACTCAAAACATTATAAGATAGCTAGACAATTTCTATATTATACAATGCGTTTGCCAGGCAGAAATTAGAAAATGCTGGTATTGTCTGGAACCCTCAATATGATATTCATATTTTTAATCTGGAAAAATTCAATGGAAGCATGTTAAATATCTTTCTTTTGACTGACCGAATCTATCCGATTAGAGGTATCCCACAATCTGATTAATTAACCAGGTTTGGCTTGTTCGACTTAGCCTCATGGCGAGATTACTTTTCTGTATTGTTTTTATCTAGCAAATCAAGTCAATTGTCCGAAAAACAAATTTATTAGAATATGCATCTATTTATTGTATGTGTTTAAATTATTAATTTAAACTATCAGTAAAATTTTGATATTTTTAATTGCAGTGTTAATAATATAAAGCAATGAATGTACAGACACCTGATATCAATTTGAAATATAAGAACATTGTTTTATTTTTGTAGGCAATCTTTACTGTTTATTTTATTTTGTATCATATCTTCGTGTGGCTTCGTGGTCGCGTGGTAAAGAAACTTGCCTCTCAACGTGGGGTCCCGGGTTCGATCCCCGGTCGAGGAGCTAGGAATTTTTCTAAACCAGAAATTAATTCTAGCATACTTGGACATTGGGTGTGTGTCCGTTGTCTCTAAATGTGTCGCCTTCTCCCACACAAGGTACCTTGAGGTTTGTTCAGGGATACAGGGGTTGTATTATCTGTGACGTTTAATTTAATGCATTGTGATGTTTTGTATTTTATATTTATTTGTACTTTTCTGCTCTTTAATTGGATGGATAAATATAGGACAATTACGAAAAAAAAAAAAATTAAGTGTGATCACCACTATTCATAAAAATGTCTTGGCAGAAGAGAGCTATGCATTTTTAAGAAAACAAAAATCCATCAGCATTCGAGTAAACTCGTTTCTGTTCGTCGAGAGGAAAAAAATTATATCGCAGCTGAACATTTATTTAAATGAGATTAAATTTTTTCTTAATGCAAATAGTATATACAGGGTAATAATGACGTAGTTTTCCACGGAACATTAAAACACCATATACTGCACTCGACGCGTGTTTTGTCAACCAAGTTATCATCATCTGAAGATGATTAAAACTAATCTTATTTAGCATTAGATGTATTCTATTTATACCTAAACTATTGTCACGGTTCGGTGAACCGTGACCTACTAGCCAATAGAGCGGGCTATTTGGGATTGGCTTTCTGTCACTATTCATACTATTTTTACACTTTATGATTTCCAAACTTTCCAATGCATCTAGCTGTTTGGTATTAATTGCATTCCTAACTAATCTTAAATCGCTAATATCTAATATGGTTGTTCTCAAACGCATGTTGGGCAACACTAGATTTATCTATTCTACCATATTTGAGATGAGCCTTATGCTCTTTGATCTAGTTTGAATTGATCATCTGGTTTGTCCTACATATGTTTGATTACAGTAATTACAGCTAATTTCGTAAATACCCCACTTTTCCTTTGATTCAATTTTGTCTTTTGGTTTGCCTAAACGTTGTTGTAGCTTATTTTCCGATGAATGAACCACTGTTATACCTATATCTTTAAACATCTTACCAATACCGCATGTGAATCAAGGATCAAATGGAATCGATACAAATTTTGGATTTTCTCTTTCATTTCGAAAGGTCGGGGAATTTCGAGGTCTTACAGAATATCCATTACTCGCGGCTATATCCTTAATCAATGCCTTTTCATTTTCAAACCTCTTCTTATTGAGGGGGGGAGCTTGTAGCAAAATTGCAAGCCATTTCATTCCAGTTTGTCGTTTTCCGTGAAGAATTGTTTCTGCCAATCTAGTCCAGATGGTGCCACTGATTTCTACTGGAACAATTGGCTTGGTAGATTTTTGCACTTATAAAAACTGCCTAAATATCTATTTGTCTTTATTGCTCATACTGCACTCTCAAATGTTTGTCTCTTTCCAACCTATAATCGAGTTTAGGTAGCAGAATACTACGGTGCTACTTCCTTCTTACTAGTGTAGCGTTCTGAAGACAACACCTGTAGTTCAGCGGTCTGGTAAAATTTATGTTTTCTGGTATTATCGTGGATCACTTTTTAAAAAGTTGCCATTTTGATTTAACGTACCTTTGAGGTAATTTTCATAATAAAATTGTACCTTGGGCGAATTTGATTTTCGGTGATCAGTTCACATTGGTTAATCTTTGGAACAGCGATCATTAATATCGATTTATCGTGCCTTGTTGGCAATTTATCTAATATCCTTCTGAATTGTAATAATTTCGTGTGCTAATTTAAACTAACTTCGGTTATTGTAAATCTTAGATTTACCCGGCAACGGATGTCGCCATTTTGTATCGTAGTTAGTTGTTTTCTGTCTTTGTTGATGTTTTAGGTCACTTGGTTACGTTGGTAGCTCTGTGAAGTGTGGTGATATTTGGAGTTTGGTATCCCTTTTTGGATGAAACCTATTTGTTTATAAACTTTGTGAGAATTACCTAACGTGGTGCATTTGTTTTGTGGTGGATCGTTTTATACCAGTGCATATATTTACCAATCAGACCTCTAGAACGTAAGGTTTTTCTAAATTTAAAATATCGAGTGCCTACTTGAACGTTTACTTAGTATTTAGTTAGAAATGCTGCTCTAGTAGAGCCTTGCCTAGTTCGCTGGTAAAGATACCTGCCTAGTTATCTGGCAATTGATTAACTTTTAATTATCTGCAGTAAACATATAGTCAAGCTATATATCTTTATTTAACTTTATCTGGAATTCATTATTACCTCTCTACGAGGAACTAATAAATAATTGAACTTAACGTTACCTTTAACTTGACAGTTATCACATTGTTTTATATTTAGCAAATATTTATTTACGTTATCTTTCTATTTGTCTGTCTGTATACACACATTCTAAATTCTATTTAAGATTACCTTTATATTTATATCTCAAAATATAGTGAATAGCTATTTCACTTTATTTATTATCATAGTTAGACCTAGTTTATTTGTTGGACTAGTGTTTCTTATATTTAACGTACCTTTTATTGATGGTCAAGTTAGTTGAAGTCTTCAACTTCCTAAGATATTGTCGGATACAAATCCTAGTTTGGTTAGTTTGCAATTTACTCTGTAAAGTGTTAGCTTTCATATTTTGTCTACGTCGCTGGACAATTCAAACGGCACAGCTTTTTACATTGTTGTGCCTATAGCACTAATCTCATAAAACTCTCCCCTTTTTATATAAATACCTGGACCAAGAGCAGAGGATAACTGGTGGATCGAACTGATCATTATATACTGGGTGGAGCAGGAAAACGATATTTTATACAACTGGCTTTCTTCTCAAGGGTAACTGCAGTAGTGACAGTGGTGATTCAAACTGACAACGAACCCATTCAGAGCTTAGCCGTTGGTGGATTCTTCGCAGGACTAATTCATTTGAAGTTACGTAAGATCTTCGTCCCCAGTGAAAATTTATATTTGGTCAGAAAAATTTTTATAAGAGGTCAGTTACCTTTTTATTATTTTTTTTTTCATTTCTCATATCTTTTTGTTTATTTCTTGGTCTTCAACTCCAATTAGAGTTTTTTAACTAAAAGAGGCCATCTTAGCCTATGTAAATTTTTGTACATATTCTTACCAGTATATTATACTTCATATTTAATAATATCTTTTATTCTACTTCATTCCCATGTGACGTACTTCGTTGCTCTACCCAAGAGCAGAAGTGTCACTTTGACGCCCAACACTACGGCGGTGCACACTGTACGGAGATCTCGGGCGCCAGTTTCTGTTTAGAGTGTAGAAACACCACTTCACTCTATCGGCGGGACGATAGAGGCCGGGCAACTGCAGTGAAGATACGGCTAAGCCAGGGGTCGGGAAAAAGGGAACTTACATACTACAGTTAAGGAACAGACTCTCATTCAATATATGTACATTTATTCTACACACTAATTCTTATTTACACTTTATACACACCTTAGTAACTACAACTTATACTACAACGGTCTTAACTACAAGCGGTCTTATTCTACAAGCGGTCTTATACTACTACGGTCTTAACTACACTACGGACAAGCGGGGCAGTAAGCGGGCGGTCAAGCGGTGCGATACGGTAAGCCGGTGAATCGGTGAGCAGCGATGTCTTAACGACGGGCGAGCGGGGTAGTAAGCGAGCGGTCAAGCGGAGCGGTTCGGTAAAGCGGTGAAACGGTAACCAGCAATAACTTAATCGGTCACGAGCAGACGGCGGACGGATACCAGGAGGGGAAGCAAGCGCCAATACAAGCAAAACTATGCCTATCTAAAGCGGTTATTTACTATCGCTTGGCTGATGGATGGTTCCGGTCTTATGATATGCCAGCTAGTACCTCCAAAGCGCCCTGCCAAAGAAAACGGACTCAGGCGGCCTGGAGGGCACGCGGTTGAATGCGGTTACGGTAAGGGGGGGGGAAAGGAGTAACAAGCCTAACAGTGGCAAATTGATGATGACGACAGGATGGTCAAACTCCAAAACTACCCTGCAGAATTTTTACGTGCTCAGGTAGCCCGGGGGACCCGCGGTTACGGACGATACCTCCAAGTCACCCTGCAGAATTTTTACGTGCTCAGGTGGCCTAGAGAACACGCGATGGCAACTGACAGTACCTCCAAGTCACCCTGCAGAATTTTTACGTGCTCAGGTGGCCTGGAGGGCACGCGGTATAACGCGGTTCAAGTTGGAGGGGGGAGGAGTGGCAAGCCGAACGGTTGCAAATCTAAGACGACGACGGTATGGTCAAAACTACCAAGCTACCCTGCAGAATTTTTACGTGCTCAGGTAGCCCGGCGGACCCGCGATTACGGACGATACCTCCAAGTCACCCTGCAGAATTTTTACGTGCTCAGGTGGCCTGGCAGGCACGCGGTTACGGAAATCCCTCTAAATCACCCTGCCAAAAAACGGACGCAGGTGGCCTAGAGGACACGCGGTATCAAATGCTAGTATCTCCAAGTCACCCTGCAGAATTTTTACGTGCTCAGGTGGCCTGGAGAACACGCGGTGTAACGCGGTGGAACGCGGTTCTAATTCTAACCTTCGGCCGCTCTCCCGTTCTAAGGAAGGATATGAGGCGGATACGTTTAGCGCTCGCGGTTCACTAACTCTAAAAAAATAAAGCCCGGAAAGTACTCACCAGCCAAGTATTACCGATTATTTACACAAACCTTTATCAAACCTTGCTACCTACTTCCGGATCCTGTGCTGGCTTCCTCTCTGGAGCGGTCGGGGTCGGCACGTCTGGACGGTACGGGCGGCAGCAACGGACTGTTCTCGGATACTCTGCAAAATCCTCAAGCTACTAAACTCTGCCCAAAAAGCAGAAGTAGGAGGAGCGCGGTAGTCATGCGCGAAATATTGCAACTACGTCACCGTTTATCGACTTAGAAAAATTCGCAATTACCTTTGGATACCTATGTACCTCTATACTCACAAGTTTACTTACTCTCCAAGTCGGCGTGGTGCTTCGGTTGGAGCTCAGACGGGAACTAATTTAATGATAAAATCCTCATGCTACTAAACACTGCTAAACCGCAG